GAGGCAACCAGGGCAGATGTGGCTACAGTAGTAGTTTATCTCCACCGTGTATGGATTGAAAGAATAATGACACATAAAGCGTCTTTGAGTGTCCAAAAAAGCGCTGTATAAAACCGATGAATTATTATATTTATTGCTAAATATTTGACTAGGATATTTACAGCTCTATTAGAGATTATTAATTTGTGACTTTAGTTTAACAGACAAATTGATAAATCATGTGGAAATCCCATGTCCAACATTGGAATAATTGATAGAGAAGTGTTAATGATTGGTCAACATAATTCAATAATTATTATGTATATAATAGAGCAAAGTGAATGAAGGTACACACATCATTCCTGAATGAGACAGGGACTCACTGGAAAATGAAAACACTGACGGTCAAGTTACAGAAAAAGCTGACGCAGAGACATGCAGTAAATAAAGCTTTTTGTAGTACATTAAGACCTTATGCAGGTTTTTGTAATTTTTTATTGTGGATATCAAAATTGCATGACAGTTAATCAATTACTGTCAATCTGAAATAGATTCCGGCAAAATCCTTCATTTTATAAAAAAAAAATTGTTTTTAATGAATATACGTTGTCTCGGCCTCAGACCCGTGTGTGACGTCATAGCGGGTGCTCCATACTCGCTATCCTCTCTTCTCTCCGCTGATGTCTGACGCAAACCTGCACTCTACAGGTGTCCACTGCTTATTAAACGTATATATTATTTTGCCGTTTTGTGCACTCGAGTAAAAACTTTGTTAGACTCAGATTCGTACCCCAGTCACCGAAGTGCAAGCGCTGTAACATAACCACTGGGCTATCACCGCACCAATACAATGGGGCACACATACATAAAAAACAAGTTACATATAACCACCCACCCACCAGGTGCTACTTACCTTTTGCCGTGTCCACTTTAATATTGAAGCAAATTTGCAAAACAGTCCACGGCGAAATGTTGAGAGCACAACATCGGACCACACTTCTCAGTACTGTCAACGGAAATCTGCCAATTCTTCCTCTGCATTTGGATGAATGCCGTCCAAAGCCTCGCTCTTTTTTTATCCTTTGGCCACCCATAAAGCTTGTTGTGCGTTCGAGAGCAGTGCATTGCAATACACCGCTTGTCATCTTGAATATCCGCAAAAAAATACCAAATACCAAATTGTAAACAACTAACAGCCGGTTGAAACGTACCCGCTATGACGTCACCAAGGGAGAAGAGGCTGTGAATTTTTTTTGTTTCTAAGGACGTTGCCTAAGGTCTTTTCTCGATTTGGGGGGATCAAACAAAAAAAAATAAAAACAATTGATTTTGAAACCTTTAGTAGTTCTCTTCTAATATAAAATGGTATTAAAACTGTATTTCTAAACAAATCAAACCCTGCATAAGGTCTTTAATAAACTCTCCACAAGATTTAACAACCTTGAGTCTAGGGTTACATTTAAATGCAAAACAAATGAGAGTACATGGTGCAGAGGGTTGAGAGGGAGATGTGAGTAAGCCTCGTCTCAGGTTGTGTGCCGCTGTAATGCTCCTGACAGCTGTGTGACTGAGCAGAAAGGGGGGACCTGACAAGCCATCTAATTGGATCAACTGCTGCCCCCACAGCCCTCTGCGCTGAATACAGCTCTGAACCCGGTTTACGCCGGTGCTACTTTGAGCCTCTAGCACCTCAGGGTGCCACCAGGAGACCTGTGTATCCCCTCAGGGAATGATCATTGTGAATGACATACATTAGGGACAACTTCTGTGATGGGTGTCACAGCAAAGATCACAAATAGACCTGTGTCTTTTATCTAAAAATACTGCTCTGGGTTGAAATTGTCATTGTTTTCAATAAAACACTGAAATAGTCAAAACATGAAAATGTTTTATTTTCATTTGTTTTCTGCTCACACTAGCCCACAGGAGCCAGCGTCTGTTACTTCAAAGTTTTCACCGTTTGCCTCATGGATGTAAGCTGAACTGTGCATGAGGCATTGTTAAACTAACATGCAGCCGGAATAGCTGTGAATACAAAACAAGCTCATGATGGTGTCTATTGGCAGTCAGACCAAGGACATTTTCCATGGCAGATAAACCCACAAAGGGCTTCTCATCAAACAGCAGTCCATCTGGAAGCAGCCTTGCTTTATATGCATGGCAATTCATCTATCACAGAGTGCATGATAGCATCACATGCACAGTCTCTGCTGCAGCCAATCCACTGAAGCCAAATACTCCATCCACATCTGCAGCAACTATGTTGGCACAATACTATCATTTCAGACCCGATTTAGATTAAGGCTTAATGGCCAAACAGTCTTTTCTAGATTGTACAACAAGAACATATTATAACTATACTGAAAATATATGTGTTATTCTTTAGTACATTTTGTTCAGTATCAATATTTATAGCCGTACTCCAGTTGTACTAAGTGTTCAAAAAGACTCTTAGTCCAATTCAAAACAGACACAAACTGGTTAAATATTTATAGTATTTAAAATAACTATCACTAAAACAATATCTAGGAGCTGCACATTTCGACACATACAGTATAGTGAGATTATTTATGTAGTGGATTGTACGTGTGCAGTATAAGACACTGTGCTTTAGTCCAACATTATACACTTATTGTTTCAACTCATACATGTATGTACATAACTGAGACGTTTGTAAGTATAACACCATAATGAGAGTGCCAGAATAAGTCTTATAATCATAAGTGTGTATAACTGTGCATATAAACTGCTCTTAACGAGGAGGAAAACTATACATTTGAAGTGTTTTATATGACAGCAGCAGTCGCGCACACTATAACGCTCTCATTTGATTTGCAAATGTTGATCCGCCTCTGTAATCAGGCTCACACTGCAGATGAAAGCTAAACACATCATTTCCAACTCAACTGTCTTCTTGCGAACCACATATCACAGCCAGAGTCATTTTCTAGCATGTTCGCTTCCGGAGGAAATCTTATCTAAGAGAGATATTTTAGTCTAAGAGGGAGGCCTCCGGGCTACACAGCCTCATTATTTAGTTTGGCTTCCTGGCTACATTTCCCCCTTATCCTCGGCAACACTACGGTGGATCTTGGCCACGGACAGAAGCATGAAAACATCCGCCCATTTAAACAAACTGTTAACACTCAGATGGCCTATCTCAGCGCAGCAGACTCGCAGGCTGTGGCTTTGCACTGTTTGAAGCGGAGGATGCTGGTCCTCTCGCTGGATAAACAAAACTGCAGCCATTTTGCCCTTAAAACATCCACGACTCTTCAATGCATTCAAAGTGAGTGAGAGGATATAGTCAGAGCAGAACAAAGCCACTCTTGAAAATGTTATTTATACAGCGCATTTCATTCAGCAGACACTCAATTACGGCCTTCACATAACCTTTAAGATTATGATTTGATTTGCAATTTCTGTAATGATGCCAGGGTAATGTTTAAAGTCCAGTAGGAGAATTAAAAACAAGTTCTATTTTCTTTTCTTTTTTAAATAAATTACAATTCTAATTCACACTAAGAATCCCACGGTGCTTAAAACTAAGTTTGATAATACTGCGCTTGCTTTTCCATCAGCAGATAAAACAGTCAAAGTGTATTCAAATGAAGATAAATACTGTATTTTAGGGCTGTAACAAGTGAACACAACTAATTCCCTACAGAAACTAATTCAATAACCGATTAATAATTTTTGTAACCTTACATTTGACTTAAACATGCAGAGATGAGGCTAAAGACTCAGATCATTCTATATCTCTGATCACTGCAGAAAAGCTAAGAAAAAGTGTTGACAAACTATTTACAATCAAACAACCCAATGTGTAATAAATCATCTCTTTCTTTTGGTCCAATGTATCAAACCTGTATTCACTGATTCATTTGGGATCTCAACTACTAAACGATTAATTCAACGTGTACTTGGCCAACATTTCCATTATCAAAATAGCCCTCAACTCAATATCCTTTACAAAGACTGAGGGTCACTGCCAAAGGATAAGAAAGTCTAAATAAGTGAGTCTGGAGTTGAAATGACCATAGGAGTCAATTTACAAGTAGCATACTGGGAACAAGCTGCTTTTCCTACTTTAAGTTTCACAGGCGAAACAGCGAAAAGGTCGAGGTCCAAGGATCCCAGGCTTAGCACAAGTTCATAAGTAAATCAGAAATGAATGAAGATGCCAGACTGCAGAGAGCTTAAGGAACAGATATACGGATTTAAAGTCCATCGCGGCCTGAACTGGGAGTCAGGGAGGATCCAGACTCGAGGACTATCCTATCTACACAGCCTTTTACATAAATAAAACACAAACGCAACACTTGCCAGATCGCTACGTACAAAACAGCCTCGAAATCTCCTATGTATTCTACCAAAGCATTTGACGATAATGACTCATTTGAAAACATAAAACTGACTCTTTTTTGATCAAATAAAACCATAATGGAGAAAACTGTTGCTTTGTGATATGGGAGAACGTCTTGTAATCATACGTGTGTGTAACTTTGCATATTAAGTTGAGTGAAAGTAAACATTTGAAGTGTTTTCTACGACAGCAGACACTATGATAACAGACACTACAGCGTTTCAAGAGATTCTTCGTTCCTACGGCTGTCAGACTGTACAACGAACCTGGATGAGTCTTCTGCTGCTGGACACCTGAATCTCTCCTACTGGGATCAATAAAGTATCTATCTATCTATCTATCCATCTATCTATCTATATATCTCGCCATCCATCGATCTATCTATCCATCTATCTATCAATAAACCTCTCATCTGATTTGCAAATATCAATGTAATCAGGCTCCTACCACAGATAAAAGTGAAATTCCACCTGTCTCCTCGCAAACCGGCAAACAAACTAAGTAAAATCTGTGGATCTAAAAAACTAAAAACAACTGAGGGTGCAAATTACAAAGAAAAAACAACTCCAAAATGGTCACAAGCCAAAGTTGCGTGTTATAAAAGCAGTGTACGTTGCCATGCTGTGATTGAAACTCCCATGACCAGCGCACTGACCGTTTTGTTCTTCTTGGAGTAGGTTTTCTTCAGCAGCCTTTCGTTCATGCGCTCCTGCTCTCTCTGTGCGTGGTGCAGGAAGCCATTCTCCAGAGCATCCATCACCACCGGCTGGACGTTCTCCTCTTCCTCGCCGGCCTCTCCGTCCTCCCCTTTCTGCCTCTTCGCTGCCTTCTTCACCTTCCACCGCTCCAACTTTTCCTGGTTCTTCACCGCCATCTTTTTCTGAAAACAAGGACATTTCTGTATTATTCACACGTCTACGAAGATCATATGGAAGCGATTCAATCCGTTTTTTGTGTGTGGATTATATAAAGTTAAACAATGGCTCAAAAGGAAACAAACTTGTGAGCACAATGCCAGACTTTAATATTCTATTGTTAAGATTTTGTACTATTTTTATAATAATCTTTAAATATTTATTTGTATTTGTATTGTATTTTTATGGATCTTGGGACTTAGGGACCAGCTGTTAGCTATAAAGAATCTGAACAACCTTTTTTTGTTTTTAAATTGGATAACTGGTAATTTATTGTTTTTATTACATTTGAATTGTTTTTACCGAGTACATAATGATTTATTTTTCTATTTTTTTTTAAAGACATATGAAGCTGGCAAACCTGTATATTTGGGGTAGGAGTTTATAAGATTTTTTTTGTCTTCATCCTACCCCTGTTCTTCCTTTTATAGAATGTATTACTGTTGTATTTGATGGATTATTGTTATGTGGTATTGCATTACCATGAAAAAAGGGAACAAAATAGATAAATATAATATAATAAATATAAAATCTCTGTGCAGCACTTTGGACAACTGAATGTTTTATAAAATGTGCTCTATAAATAAAGTGTTTTGGATTGGATTGAACATGGCATTGCTATTTCTAACAATGCTTCTTGCTCTGTCCCCATCGAATAAAAAATATGATAAATTCCAGTAAAAGAATGCATTGGGCAGGGCTTAAACCCTAAAACTTAATCACAGACCCCACGACTGACTATCCATGTTCACGTTCAATCAAGAGAGGCAATTTAGTGTTATTATTGCTCCATGCTTACAGTTGGATGGTGAGAGGAAGCCTGTCTGATTATGTTGTAATCAGCACAAGTATCAAAGCTCTAATGCAGTGCTGTGAACCAGAGGTGTTAACTACTCTGCCACGGTGCTCCTCGAATCATGCCAACGGCTTAAAACTGAGCAGAAGCAACCATCTGAAGAAGGCCTATATAGTGCTGAAACTATTTGGCACGTTAACAAAGCAATGCTATAGTAATTTAATCAAAATAAGTTTGGAACAATCCTGTGAAAAGAAGCAGAATCATTTACAATACATTAGAAAAACGACATAGCATATAATAATCATATATTTAGTTAAAGGGACAGTATGTTTCTTTCATTTTGAATTACATCTACATTCCCTAAACGTGTCCTGAGATAAAATGTCGATGATGTACAACTTATATTAAGGCCTTCTATATTAAAGCTGACATTGGCAATATTGTCCAAAAGGAGAATGAGTCTTTCAATTGGTCAATGTACTTGGTTTTGCCTCGATTTTTCTTCTAATCAATCAATCGAGAACAACACAGATCCGCCAAGTTAAATAAATTCTTGCACACATGTTACATATACCATAATATATATAACCCAAACACTCTCTGACCCTACACCTCTCTCCCACTACTCTGTGCTGAAGGCATCACTTTCTTTCCTACACATACTATCTTCTTTCTTAAATGCAATCGACATGTTTTAAATAATCTGTTAATCCGTTCCAAAGAGATACACATTGATTTTAAAGTAGTTCTAAATTTAGCCACTTTTAGTTCCTCTGTCTGTAGCTATGGTGAGCCTAACTTTCACTACTGTATGTTAAAGATGCAGGACATACAGGGACACATTTATTGAGGGACACATTCATTTCTAATCAAGTCTGAGTGTCTGCTTGAAACACATCTTATTCACAAATGATTTCCTGGTTACAAATCATCAGAATCACCACCCACACTGCCAATAACCCGCCGAGAAGAAGATGAAACAATTACGTCTTCTTGCCGTCAACAGTCTTCATAGAACAGAATCGTGGACGCTCCCATGACACCGCAGCTAATCAATGTCAGGCTTACAAGTGGGATTTACAGCCTTTACAGTCTTTCAAGGATCGCTTTGAAAACCTCAAAACAATTCAATATCAGTTTGAGGAAAAGAAAACAACATCTCGGCTACCTGAGAGAGCAACGGTATAGTGTTCGCCCATCTGGAAGGATTGACAGAATGGCAGGAGATGAATGGGGAGTGGAGCCACGGCAGCCCTTTCACTGTTGGCTTATACAAAGAAAACAAACACTCTGACAGCGCGCGGCACCCGGCCTCTCTTTCCGGAAAGTCATCTTTAATCCTGTCAGCTGCAGAACAATGCCTTACCAGAGCTCATAATCACTTTATGCCTCACGAATAATGAGCTTATGATATAAAGTGCTGCTTTTAACACACAGTCGCTCAATGTACACTTGGATATGACTAAGCTGTTCTTCCAAAAGTACCAGCAGAGCCTTCATGCCTCAGTGCAGCGGTGTGGGTTTTGCAGTTTATTTATTGGTATTCAAACAACATTTGCAAATGGCTCGGTGTCTAAGCCAGTGGTTTTCATTTGCCTGGTACTTCATGTCTCCTCAGTATTGCACGAACAGGCAGATAGAGCCACTGGCTGTTTGTGAGAGTTTGCTCTATTGAGAAATTGTTATTCCGTTTCACAGGATGAGCAGAAAAGAAAAAAAATCACACCAGGCAAAATAAATTCAGTCGGTTTCAATACAAGCATTATTAGGGCCAATGGGGAGATTCATGAAGAAGGGATGACGAGCATTTTAATAGTAATTGTGATTTTTCAGTTGGAGGGCAGCTGCCAATACAACTCTATGGGAAAGGAGCTTTGGAAGGAGCTTTTGAAAAATAATGAGACCAGTTCAATATTTGATAATGACATACCTCATTTGAGAAACCCCATTTAATTATCATGTCTGAAAGTCCTTTCTACTGGCCAAAACCACCCATGTTTTTTACACTTCCAAATATGAGAAAATAATTAGGCCACACAGACACAAAAATGCTGTTTGTGTTTTGTGTGGTCAGGCTCAGGAATCACAGAAAAACCGGCTCTAAACTAAGTCGAGAAGTCTGACTATTGACGTTTCCAGTAAAGATTTGTCAGCTGCCCTCCACCACAGAGGCTCTTTGGAACGCAACCTATTATGTCTTGAGTCTGTCTAATGAGTTTATGGCTAACACTTTCTGCTTTAAAGCCAATTTAAAGCTAGAGTACCAAACTTTGAAACCCTAAAAAAACACACCATAAATGATGTAATACTATCCATGCCCTCATTCAGCCAATCAGCTCACAGCACAAAAAATATGTTGAGTTGAGCGTTTATCTATTTCGAGTTCCATGCACATCAAACATGAATTATGAAATGTCACTACATAGAATTTTCTGGCAAATCATTCATCAACAATTACTTTTTAAAATATTGTACACCGAGTAAAAACAGATCAACGGGAGGAACTATGTCAGAAGCGCTGAATTAGCAGAGACTTTACTTTATTGGTCTTAGTTCGGACAATTACAGGGTGAGAGGACTATTTTTTTTATAGGTAAGGTAAGGTAAAGTAAGTGAAAAAACTTCTTCCATGGGTCTAACCACTGCAACGTAAATTCCACCATATTCTCCGAACACATAAAGCCAACATAATTAGTGTGAAAACTGTCCAATCTGTTGAAGCCAGTGAATATAGGCGCAGTGGCCCTTCCTGTGTTTGAAGCTGCACAGAGCCTGAGGGCTGCGGTTCACATTTCAACATCTGTTCACAGCTGGCATTGCTCACTCACCGCAGCTCTATGTGGATAATCAAATCATTGGCTTCAAGGGTGGGAGGTTACAGCAGCTGGCAGGTAGGCAAACCCCAGAGCTATTCATAATTGACATGTTCTACGTCTGGAGGCGCTCATGAACGAAGCAGAATGAGAAATGAAAAGGAGTGAATACTGTATGTAACTGTATTATTTGGATGGAAGGGAACGTGAAGGTGTACCGTCTGTGTGAAGTAAGCTGGCTTATATGCTATGCTATAGTTGTCATCCGCCGGCAGTGACGAGTGATAAACTGCGTTGTAAAAAAAGGCATTTGTCAGTCATGAGCGTTTTGAGTTTTAACAGAGAGGACTGACCTTCCTCCTCAGCGCTCCACTGAACACTGCACTCTCAGCCTCATGGCCGCTCACACATATAATCATTATGGTAACCAGCTCAAATTGTTCAAAAAGAGGGACGAATTTGTTGAGCGTGGAGGTGCTCAGACTCTGGAACTTTAAAGTGGACATGTACTTCTCTCAGCTTTTAGCCATCCTGCTGTTTTGACCACAGGTAACCCATTTTTTAGATATTTACAGTGGGGCAAAACAGTATTCAGTCAGCCAACAATTGTGTAAGTCCTCCCACTTAAAAAAGATGAGAGATGCCAGTGATTGTCAACAGCTCTTTTAACTATGAGAGACAACAATGAGAAAAAAAGTATTTAGTCAATGACAAAAGTTTTTCTTACACTGCGATTATTTATTAATTATTATTTAGCAGTATTTACTTCAATGCTATCTTGTTTTGCCTTGTGTATGAATTGTGCTATACAAATAAACTTTTCTTGACTTGTCTTGTCTACTTTGGTATATACCCAGGTCAAAAGTTTCTTGTAAGTCTTCACAAGGTTTTCACACACTGCTGCTGGAGTGTTTTTGAGGTTGTGGGGAAGGGTCTTTTATACAGATAACGTGTGTAAACAGGTTCCAATTATACAGGTAGAAAACAAAGAATCCTCTTAAAGGAGAAGTTATAGGTCTGTGAGAGCCGGAGATCTTGCTGTTTGTTTGTGTGACTAAATACTTATTTCCCCCCCCATAATTTGCAAAAGAATTATAAAAAAAAAAAAAGCGGATTTTTGTCTGATTTGTTTTTGCTAATTTTGTCTCGCATAGTTGAGGTGAACCTGAAAATTACAAGCAACTCATTTTTTTTAAGTTGCATAAATGGTGGCTGACTAAAAACGTGTTTTCCCCACTGTATATCCACATATACTGTACGTGTGCCATCGTTTCTTATCTCTCAGCTCTGACCACCGGCACTTAACACTTTTTCTGATTCTTAGGCCCTGTTTATACTGAGACGCTGC